TTCCGGAGTCTGAGAAGGTAGTGGTGCGTGCAGAGGACAGAGGTTTATCACATAAGGCTCTCGGGGAGCCATATGCCCGATACTTGTAGGCTCAGTATTGAGTTGTGCTTTAGAAAACAGCACTGAGGTATGTCTCGCTGCAGCAAAGTCTTTTCTTACTTGGAACTGTGGTGGTATATGAGCATCCAAGAGTAGCCTGCAAGGTAAATATATGCTGTGAGCAATGGCTGTTAGGCTAGAAAAGGAAATAGTTATGAACAGCTTTTCTTTTGAAAATGCCTTAATCATAGCACTGTGATTAATTTGGTTGTTGTTTCCTCCCTAGGTTCGCTAAAAGACCACCCGCAGCAGCAGCCTGGCATGCTTTCTCGTGTGACTGGTGGCCTCTTCAGTGTCACAAAGGGAGCTGTTGGTGCCACAATTGGGGGCGTTGCTTGGATTGGAGGGAAGAGCTTGGAAATTACCAAAACAGCGGTCACATCTGTGCCTTCAATGGGAGTGGGGCTAGTCAAAGGAGGTGTTTCTGCTGTAGCTGGAGGTGTTACAGCTGTAGGATCTGCTGTTGCAAGTAAAGTGCCTTTAACAGGAAAGAAAAAGGATAAGTCTGACTAAAACCAAAACTGAGACAATTCGATTCTCCAGAATATTACATCAGTGGCATTAAAATCTGCTAAGATTTGGACCGTGAGAAGCCATGTGTCTTAGACACTTTATCTGCTAAAGAGTTGTGCAAGTAACTCTTGTTTCATCTGAAAAGGACAGAAGAACCTTGGCTAGCACAGTGTATGAAGATTTACTAGAGCCTAGATTGAAGCTTTGTACCTGGTGAAATGTTACACTTGATACCTATAGAAGTGAATAAGTGTATCTGAAGGGATAATACATAATTGAGTATTCATTTTACTGTAAGTCTTTTGCGGTTTTGGACTAAAATGTGAATATAGCAACTTGGTAGTCTCTGTCGTACCATCAATATGACAAGATGCCATTTACTGTTCTCAGTGGTTTCCACATCCTCCTGCTGAGGATCCTTCAGCTGTGTAACGGCGTGGCTGGACATACCCAAGTAGTTTTGGTTCTGAAACTGTATTTGCAGGCAGCCTGTAAACTAGCAGTGGCTGTATCCTGCCAGTGCAGGCTGGAGCAAATAGCACTGGAGAGGTGTACGGAAATTGGAAATGAGAGTTGGGAGATAGAAGTGAGGAAGTTCAACCACACGGTAGAAGGGATCATAAAGAGTAAACTAACTTCATGCCTTATTAGAAAAAGTATCTTTTTACCAGGTGAAGCTGTGCCAAGAACTGTCCTGTTGTTTCAGTGCAGTTCACAGAACGAGCGTTAAGACTCTCTTTACAAATCCTGGCATCTGAAACCTTGTCAGTTTTTACTGAAAACAAGATTGCTCCATCTCAGGTGTATTAACTGATATGCATCTATCTCCTGCAAGTGAAAACTTGCTTCTAATAAACCTACAGACACTAGAAAAAATGATGGTTTAATGGAAGCAGGGCTGTTTGTGGTCATCTAGCAGAACTGTCTGACTTGAAAGAAATTCCTTTGTGTAGCTGGAAACCACTGAAGAACTAGCAAGCGGTTGTCTCAACTCCGTGATATGCCAGGTCAGCTTCTTGCTCTGTTTAAGCAAATGCAAGGAATTTTTCACTACGTTTTTCTCTCGTACTTTGCATTTTGATTTTTTTGAGTAAAATGCAATACTTTTTTATTTAAAACAAACCAAAAAGGGTAGATGAGGCCTTAAAAAAAAAAAAAAAGAGAGAAACATCATCCAAGTTAATTGTATACTGACAGATTCCAATCGGTGACACACCTCAAATGGGAACACCTGTAGGTCCTTTACAGTGTGTGAAGCAAAATACACTTGTAATGACACAGCTTGAGGTTGCCTTAAAATAGAAGCTGTTGGTGATCTGTATGTTTTTTGTGTACTGACTTTGCAAGTACCTATCCTCTTTGGAAGCCCAGAGAAGGCAGCTGTGAATGTTGTGTATGCAGTATTTTCTAAACACTTGGGTTCCTGCAGAGAACTTCTAAGCACATAAGCTTGCTTTTTCAGTGGCTATGGTTGTACAGGAAGGATATATAGGGAGACTTTTTAGAAATTAAAAAAAAAAAAAAGAAAACATATCACTTGTCTAAAACTTAGTCCTGTATTTATAGGTGTTGAAAGTGCACTATGTGTAAATTATGGTACAGAAGTCACCTAGTCTCTCTGAGCCATTGGTACCTCAGCTGCACTCCGGAACAACTTTATCCGATACCAGCAATTGTGTATGTTGGCAGGGTGGTATTTGTAAGCATCGGGGTTTGGGGCGGTGGGGAGAGTGAAAACCCAACATGTGGTGTTACCTGCTCCTGTTGTTAGATGCCCCAGCTGCTTAGCTCCAGTCTGCAGCAAGGGTATGAGGAGGTAAGTTTATGCAACAAATGTAAGACTTTAACTGCTTTTTACAGTCACGAGATAATCACATAGAATATAGCGTAGGTTAAGGCTACCAGTTGGCTCTAGAAATGAGCTAGCTTGGGTATCAGAGGCAATCTACCTGCAGCAAATAATTTAGTGTGGTCTGCTCCCCGCAGCTTCCAGTGTAGACGTATCCCCAGTGTTACCGCTGAACTCCCAACAAGTCACCTTGTGTGGAGCACAGTGGTATTTGTGACACTTGACCAAACCCTTCCTAATCGTTTTCTGAAAACGTAAGCGTTGAACGGGTCATACCCCTTTTTTATGACATCCTCTAATATTTATAGCATAAAACTTGCTGCAAAACAAGCGTGGTCTGAGATAAGCAATGTTAGATCTGTAAAGAGCTGCCAACGCTTCTTTATGTTTTGTTCTTAACATATCCTGTAGTTATTACTTCTGAATCTTGTAATTGAAACACTTTAACAAACGGTTTTAGTTTTTGAGAAGAGCTTTGTCCTATATCCTGCATATTTTCCATTCACTTATGAAATTTGCTTCGTCTTAAAAACTTGTTCTGTCCTGACCCTTGCAAAACATTAAACTGTTGCAGTTTCAGACATTTGAAAGTTTCCTTAGTTAATTTGTGGAGAAAGGCATACGTAGGTTTAAATCTTCCCACAATATCATGCCCCAGTGTCTTCTATCTGCATCTGAATAGCACCAACCAGTTCTTAACAAAAACTGTAACTTCCCTTTACAGGCTGTGCACAGACAACACAAAATCCCTTGTACTGATTTCTTTTTTTTTCCTGGGAACTGAGGTTTGAGGATACCCACTTTGGAGATCGTAGTGAGCTGAATGGAATACGGAACTGAAATTTCCAGGGGGAGCAGGGTTGTTCTTGTGTCTTGGGGTCGTTTTTTGCAGTGGTATTATTTCACTCCTTTTCGCAGCCCCCATTTCAAAAGGGGAAATGTTTATGAAGACTGCTTGTACGCCTGACTGCTCACTGTGTAATGAAAGGCTGGTCTACAGGCTTTTATGTGCTGCTGGTTCATGTTCACTGTAACGGCAAGAGATGAGGAAGGAGATTTCAGCAATGTAACATTTTGGTAACTGGGAGAAATTGAAACATTCGGAATGGAAAATGAGTTTGTCGTAACTTGGGCTGTGACTCCATTAAGGAAATATGTCACTTTCCTGTTTTATCCATTGCCAGCAGAAATACTGTAAGTGATGGGAATAAGCTGTGTCGGGAACTTTAAAAACAGATACCTGTAGAAATGCTGGGACTAAATTTTCAGGGAAAACACCGTTCTATGTCTTGGTTTCCATTTCATCCTAAACCACGGATCAGTTCTGTGGTGTTCAGCACTACAGTAGATTATATTATGAATAGCTTCAGAGAGCTGAAATGTCCCCTTGTGTGTGAGGGGAAGGATGCTTTTGAATTCAAATCATATTGTGGTCTGCTTAATAGCTGAGCACTGAAGGACAGTCAGAAAGTGACAAAGGCAAGTTCCTGTGAATTTTTAATATGGCTGTCTTCCCAGTTTCCTCTTTAAAATGACAGTATGTCTTGAAGAGTCAGCAAAGGCATGGGCTGCCGTGCTGGTGATGTGCCCCTTCTTGAATTCTCACCACTGTCACACGTGTACCTACAAGAGTGACGTTTAACCCCACAAGCTGCTGTCACATCCACACTTGCCCACATGGTGCTGAGTTTAGGACCTTCAGCTGTTAAGATCTTGGCACTGCTCTAACCAGATGTTTCCAGCCCTTTCCAAGCTCGCAGCGGATAACGTGGCAGGCTATATAAAATCATCATCTTGCAGCCCGCCCTCTAAACAAGTAATTCAACACCAGCTTTCCTCAGCAATTTAAAACTTCTCTTTAAGAAAAAGAACCCTGGACTTGCTGCCAAAATGTCTGTTAAAAATGACCTTGAAGAATGGCCTGGAGTGAGGGGAGGGGTGCAACTGTTTGCTGCTGCTGTCAAGACGTAATGTGTGTGGAATAGTTCCTTAGGAAAGTCATTCTGAGAAATAAAATCACTGATGATCCTAATTCTATTGAGGTGATGGTCAATGACACTACTATTTTATATTATCATTCACAGCCCATAAATGAAAATAAATAAAATCCCCTGAGAGCTTATACACTATCAGATAGTTACTATTTTGAAAGGCAGCACTTGTTGACAATTACCCTACGGTGTTATCTGAGAAGCAGTGTCACCCATATATTTAGAAACCGTGGCAGCTGTTTGAAAATCTGGTAGTCATTTTTAATCACCAGTGGTTTACACACTAGAGTCTTGTTACACCTAATATAAAAGCAGGCCTTCTTCCTTTCTCCTACAATCACTTGAGTCTCTCCCTAACCTTTTCTCTCCCTGAGCTGAGAAGACATTAAGTAGACCATAGCAATGAATGTGTTTCTTCCTGCCCCAACACTTTTGCAAAAGGAGTGAATGTTGAAGTCTCAGAAATGTAAAGAAGGTCGTCTTGTAGTTTCTTTGCGTTATGGTTTGTACACAAACATACTAGGGCCTCGCTGTAGCAGTGTCACTAAATCAAAAATGTCCTGCCCCTGTTCTCAGACTGTGCTCTAGCTGGGCATTCCTATCCAAGAAGTCAAGTCTGCTGCAGGTCAGGATCTGGGAGCTAAAGCTACTTACTGCAGCAATAAAGAATGGAACTCCAAAAGAGTCTACAAAAGTCAGTGAACCAGTGGGTTCCTGAACACTGCTGGAAAAATAACCTTCCTTTTCTCTTTCTCAGGTGAACACTGTGCTCATCACTACCACAGGCTGGACTGTGCAATAACAGAACTGAAAATCTGAAGCAGTTAATGCACTGTTAGATAAGGAAATGTAGCAGAACCCAAAAATATATGTGAAGTATTCCCTGGAGAAAAAGGTGACCTTTATCATAACCAGGTTCTGTATTATTTGAAAGAATTAGAAAGCTACAATTGTATAACGAAGTTGTGCCTAAGACCCACTCCAGGACAGCGTAAAACTACAGTCTGGTTAAGATTACTTTTGTTTCGGCTGTTCTCAAAGAACCAACATCTCTTTGATAATTTTCATTTGTCTAATTTAAAGTACAGCATTCAAATTAATCTTCGATGTGTACAGGAGCAACAGGATTAAAAATGGGTCTCTCCTTCTTTGATTGTATCTTGCCATAATTGACTTCAAAATCTTTCTTAGTACCATCCAAGCTTTCTAGAGTCCCACTCTTTAGATCATATCCCAAAGCAGAGAGTTTTTTAATTCGGTACTGAACGATTTGCGTTGTCAGCTCCAGCACCATTGGTGTCTCTCTAATCTGTGCTACAGAAATTCCTTCCTTCAGCAGTCCTTCAAGTCTCTCTTCCAAAACTGGAACAGAATAGTAGAGAAGGGCTGGGCATTTCAGCACTAGCTGTTTTAATTCTTGATCACTGCACTTGAAGACGTTTTGGGAAAAAAGCATACTCTTCTGCATAGTAGCTGGAGTAAGTTGAAAAATGAAACCTTTAAGTTTGGACAGCAGCTGTAGAACTTCATGGTCGGTGAAATCATTCTTCTGGAGAAATTCCAAGTTCTCCTGGATTGCGGTCGAGGTATTTAATAAAACAAATGGATTTTGGCTCAAAAGCTTCAGTATCCAGATCTTCATATTTGCCTCAGAACCTCCTAAACTCAAATAATTTCTTTGTAATGTCTCTATCAAGTTTTTGTTTTTCTCAACAGGATTATAGAAAATATTGGGTGCGCTTGTCAAAAGCCTGGTGATTATATTATTCTTAAGTCCCAACTCTTGAAAAAACAGTATATTTGCCTTCTGGTTCTCATAATATTTAGTAGTAAAAAAAGACTCTGGAAATTGCTCTATTAATTTAATCAACTGTTTTTCATTCTGGCATACTAATTGCCATAGAGCTCTTTGAGAGTCTATCTCTGCAGGCGTATGGAGAATTGCCTCTGGGCAGCGCTCTAAAATGTTGGCTACAGCAGTCTCATCCGCTCCCATTTCTTGCAAGATACCAGCAATTTCTTTAACATAGGCCACATCCTGGAGAAGGACCCATTCCTTTAGCCTGCGTATTTTCTTGATGTCAACTGACAATCTGTAGAGACTCTCAATGGTTTTTTTATTTTCCTCTCTTGCTTTTGCATCAGTTGTGTAAGTGGAACGTATTAGGAAGCTTCTCTTTGCTACTTCAGTCCATACCGATGAAAAATTCAGACCCAGGTTACAGTACTGAGATCTTGCCAACAGAAGAGTAAATATATCTTGCGCACCGTGGGTGACTCCTCTCAACATGGTAGAATTCAGCCCTGTGGAGAGAGAACATCCATCAGAAAACACATTTGAGGCACGAGTTAATGCTCAGAGCCATTGCTATTTAGACTGAACTGGCATAAGAAATTGCTCTCAGCAGTGGTTTTCGTTATTAGCAGAAAATTCAGCTTTCACATGAAAGTTGGAGGGGGGGGGGAGTACTTTTGAAGGGTTAATGTTCTGACGGATGCCTCACTGGAACGACTGTTGCGGATTCAACAGACCTGGTGTGGGGGCAGTGCTCTGTCTGTACAAATGCCTGCAGTCGTACAAGAACCAAACTGTCAGCCATTTCCTGCAGCTAACGTTGTTGTTACATTACCGCTCACTCGCGCTGTACTAGAAAGATGTTTCATGCAATTTAATTTGACAGTAATTCTACTAAATGAATTTAAAAAAAAAAAAAAAAAAGCAGCTTTGATATCTTTCTTAACCCTTCTGAATGTATTTGCTTAACTTCTCAAGCATTGTTTGGAGCATGACGTGTTTGCTCACCTGCCAGAGATACCCCCCCCCCCCACCCCCACCCCCCCGGTGCTCCTTCAGCAGCAGTTCGTAGCCTAATGCATTTTGAAATCATTCTTGTCATAATTAAGGAAAAAAATCACTGAAACCTTTATGTGTGTGCTTTTCACTAGCTGAGTCTGCTAGCTGGGTTCTGAATAAGCACACTGGTATTTTGGGGGAGGCAGCAAGTAACATCAGAAGTAACATCTTCAGGCCTTCACTTGCCTCTTCCAGTACCTGCTGTGCTACAGCTGGCCTTTGCACTGACACCTTATTCCTGTCCCCAGGTCACTTCTGTCGTTGCCAGCCACCCCCAGGAGGCAGAGAGCCCTCATGCACCCTGTGGAACAGCTGCGTGGCTGTGCTGGGGTCCACGCAGCAACCAGAGGGTAGCTGGGGTAACCCCATACCCCACCTTTGCTCAAACCGACTGCCAGGTATCACCAACAGCACGCACGTGCGCTGCCACTGGCTTCGCAATGGCCAAAGGAGCTGCAGCAGCCAAAGAAAAATACCAGCAAGCACATCTCTAGCTTCCTAGCTGGCGTTTTCATAACAACCTTTTGGAAGCACAGGGTGTGAAACTGCTGGTCTGTGAAATACTCGCATGAATTGCTGCTGCTGGTAACATGCTTAAAACTGCTCAAATTGAAACGGAGAAAAAAAATACAATTTGTGCATTTGACAATTCTATTTCTACAGTTGCTTTCGCTTCTGAAGTATAGCATGCTTCAAAAGGTACCTATGCAAGCATAAAATTAAAGTATTTTGAGGGTTTTTTTTTTTTTTTTCTTTTAGGAGAGAAAAGACTGTTACGATCATGCAGTCTGATCTCCTACACAACAGACCAAGAAGCCTACTGCAGGAACAGCTATCTGAGACCCTAGAATATTCTTTACAGCCCATCTTTTAAGAAAATATGTGGTTTGTTCAGAGAACTTGAGTGACAAAGCCTCTATCTAGTTGCCAGGTAAGGTTAAATATTTTCCAGGGGTAAAATACTGTATCTCAAGAAAGTGTACTTCACTTTTAAGTGGATGTTTTTCAGCTTCTAAAAGCTGGACTCTTGTTATGTTACTACATCATAAACTAATAGAATAAGGTGTAAAAATAATTTCCTACATGCAAGCTTATGTTATTAACAGAAGCTATTTATTGGTAACTTGTTTTTTAGAATTATTTCAAATCTCTGAGGCAAAATCTGATTGCCTAATGAAGCTGCCAATGTCATAACCTCAAGGCTAATGATTTTATCTTCATAAACTTTGACTTGAGAAGTGCTGTCCAGCAAGCTCCACCACAGAACAAACCATTTTACCCAACAGCCCTGAAAGGGCTGTAAGTGTAGGTGAGTCCCGGACTTTTCCTGTGCTGACCTTCCCGTGGCCTGAAACAGTGACTGTTTCACGGGGACTGCAAACTAGCACCTCCCCTCCACAGGGAGTGACACAGCCACCTGCGTCTGAGTACCCTCAGAAGTTCCGTTGAATTTAGTGGGTCCAGTCAGAGTAAGTGAATCTCTGAAGGATCGGGGCTTTCTTCATTAATGCTTCAGCTCAGCTGGAAACTGCCAGCAAAACAAAACTATTGTTAAAATAGTTTGGGATGTCAGATGATACTTCCAAAGTACAAACTGGAAAAATAACTAACCATGACTTTTACTTCAACGCGTAATCCTGCTGTTACATAAAATTGCCTTGTGAGTAATGCAGTCACTTAAAATACAGTAATTTTATCTATTACAGCGCTTTAAAAAAATTCTAATACAGTAAATTGTGCTCTTCTAAGATCTGACATGGAAATGGTTGTTATGTTCACTTAAAAGAAGCTTTTTATTGTCTGAAAATGTTTGATGATATCATAGTCAATTTTATTTCCTGTTAGTGAGGATCATCCATGCAGAAACACAGAATACTATAAAAGGAAGGGAAACTTTATTTGCTAAATTGCATTTGACTGGGGTACTCAGGAGCCCTTGTAAAGCACTAAGCAAAATATAACATGCAAAATAAGATTAATGGATTTCACTGTCATGGTGTTCTATAGAAACTGAGAAGACGATTATAAGTCATGATTTGGTGTATTTCAGAGCCCATACATGGCAGTATCACACTTCCAGGGTATGTCACCTGTTCCAAGAGCTCAGACTTCTCTTAAAGCTCATGCTGGACTATTTACTGTTCTAATACACAGGACCCCGCTGTAACTTTTTACATACTGTGCGGATTGTAAATCAATTGAGAGATTAAGAAAAAGAACAGCCAGTTTAGACGAGACGTTTGCTCTCACCACCAGCAGCACCCTCTTATCACCAGGTGTCATAACAGCAACAAGGAAGTGAACTAACGTCTACCTGGAAGTTATCTGTGATCCTGTTTGCCAGCACACTTGCAGTGACCTATATCTACAGAGTAAAAGGGTGTTATAAGTTTCATTATTTAATGAGTCTCCTATGTATATTTTCTATAGGAACTGGATACTAGGATCGCCTGACTGATTCATCCCTCATTTCCTTCAGAAAGTTTCAATTTCTGGGTATTCTGAGACGCAAATCTCACTTTTTGAAAATCAGCAAACCAATCTCATGCTCATGTTGTATTTTTCACAAAATCTTTCACTAAAGAGAGGAACAGTATGACTACTACTGTGTGCTGGTCACTACCATTCTCATTTACAGCAAACTGTTGCCAGGTCTTAGTAGGCTGTAGGGAACTGAATGAAACTACTAAATGCCTAGATTGAACTTTAAATTAATCACAATCTACCTAGAAGAGAGCAGTGTAGGTAGGATTTGAACAGCAGTAATAGGTAGTTTTGTAGAGTAAGTATTCACACTTCTGCACTTACAGACAAAACATGAATCCCTACTTTGCACCAGTAGTGGAAACGAGGTAAAGAAGGATTGCAAAGACACGCCAGACCAACTGAAAGCTTTCTAGAAAAGACTACAGAGCATCCTAGGATAATCCAGGTTGGAAGGGACCTCAAGAGCTCAAAGCAGCGTTCGCTATTAGGTAAGACCAGGCGGCTTTGGCCAGTCAGCTCTTCAAAACCTCCACGGATGGAGCCCCCCCCCAGCCTCTTCGGGTTGCCTGTTCTACTGCTCGGCCGTCCTCGTGGGGAAAAAGCTTCTCCTTGGATCTAGGAAAGGACAGACGTTTAAAAAAAGCGTAAGGATGCACAGCTCTATTGAAACCAAAGGGGATCGAGCGGTGCCCTTCGTACAGCGAAAACCGGCAGTTCTCCGTCTCAGCCCGGTGCCGTCAGCCCGGCCGACCGCTACCCGCACCGCCGGTCGGGGCAGGGACACGCGAAGGGGATGTCC